AATCGTGCTGTCAGCTCAAAATTAATTCATACAAGCCAAACTCATTTTACATTAAAGGATGCCATGACTCTCCCATTGTTGCACAGAAACACCAGAGCAGTTACAGTAAGCCAGTCACAGGGCACATTACAGTAATACTGCTGAACAGCATTGCTCTTAATTTGTTTCAATGTCATCTACACACAGGGCTTTGTGCCGTCCCAGAGCTCTGGTTTAGTTCCACCCATCCCTGAGCTCCACGTGCTCTCCACGCAAGCAGCCTTCCCCAGAACCACCTCTGCTGAGGAGTCAGCCCATTTCGTGTAAAAGGACATTTGCATAGGAGGAAGCAGCTGTAGTTTTGGTGGCAAGGGTCATACAATTTCAGGCCACGACCAAGAATTACACTCAAAATAACAACTTAAGAGCAGCTCAGTTAGCAGACTCACTGAGTAACCTTTCACCTGCTTTTTCATAAAAACAAATTAAAAGGACCTTACACACACTGTAGTTCCACCATCTCCTAGAGTGCTGTAGGCCAAACGATCAGTGTAATGGATTTCTAAGTGTAACCTAACTGACATGAAGAACTCAAATAAAAGTGACTATCATTTTGCTACTGGCAGTTTAAGTGACGTGGAAAAGGATTTTCAGATTGACTCTAGTATTCTTTCTCACAGTTAATAAATATAAGTTTGAGGGGTTTGGTTTTTTGGTTGGTTTTTAAATTAAGTCACCTCTGAGAAATTATTTGCACCTAACCAAACTAACAACCTACGGTGTAGCCTTAGCATGAATTTTTACAGTGAAACTGAAAAGGTTGTTCTCTGCCTGCCATGTTCGTTAAACTCGTTGCAATGAAAAGCAACTTTTCTGCACGGGAGATGTAATCATCCCCTCCTTTCATTAAGGAGCCGACTGCAAGAGTAAAGAACTGACTGTGAAAAAAAGAACATGCTTTTGACTTCCCCTGCTTGATTTACAGACCAGGACCGACTGTTGCATTTCCCCCGCCCCAGAAATCTTTTCCTAAGGAGCTTTTTTAAAGCCCAAACAAAGTCTCTTCGCCACCACCACCTCCTTACAAACCCAAGCCCCTCCTAGCCTATATGCTCACGCTAGGCATGTTCTGGCCTGGAAAAAGGTGGGTTTAATTTGGCGAGTGACCTCAGGGCGCTGGCTCGGTAACAGGGAGCCGGTCCGAGAGGGGCGGGCCGTGCCCCCCGTGCCCCGGGGTGGCGGCCGAGCCGCCCGCAGCCCCGCGGGGGACAAAGGGCTGCGCGGCCCGGCGGGCGGGGGCGGCTCCGTACGCACCCTTTGGTCAGGCGGAGGATGTCCCCCGGCTGGATGAGGCCGCCGATCTCGTCCCACACGCAGATGGTGATGCTGCCCGTCTTGTCCGCCACCTTGCAGGACCTCACCTCGTGCCCGTCCTTCGTCTTGGTGACTCGCCCTGCGGGGAGAAGCGCGGCTCAGGGGGGGACACGGCGCCGCCGGCCCCCCCGCCCGCCGTGACACGCCTGGGCGGCCCGGGGGTGGGGCGTGCCGGGCGCCACTTACCGATCTCCAGCACAATAAAGATGACATTTAAGTTTTTCAGTCCGGGTTTTATGTCTTTTATGAGGAAATACGTGTCGCTCGCCACGCTCATGCTGCGGCCGGCGCGGGGGTGAGGGCTAGCGGGGCGGGCCGAGCCCGCATCCCGCGGGGGAGCGGAGGCAGCGCGGGGCCGGGCAGGGGGGCACCGGCGACCCTCACAGGGGACGGGGACACGAGCACCGAGGGGCTGCGCGGTGACTGTGCGGCACGCCCGACCCCCACCGCTCCCTCTACACACTGACACCACCTGCACAAACACCACCCCGCCTCCCGCTCCCGCCGGCACTGAGGCACACACGTGCGCCGCGCTCCCCTTTATAGCGGCCGGGCGCGACCACACAGGGGTCGGGCGGGGGCGGTTGCGGCGAATGGAACCGTCCGGGGCACGCGGAGCGCCGGGAATGGGTAACGGGCGGGCACGAGCCGGCGCCGCGCGCTGATTGGGCCTCGCGCCGCCGCCATCTTCTGCTTGTCGGGGCGCTGCCGCCGCCGAGCCCGGTGCGGCTCATCGGCTGCGCGCCCTCATCGCGCCCTCCCTGCCCGGGCAGCCCGGCCTCACCTCACCCCTCGCTCACCCACTGCTCCCCTTCGGGGAGCATCCCCGCGGCGCCCCGACCGCGCCCGCTGCGGCAGAGGGGAGTTGAAGAGCGGTTCGCTGCCCTTCCGCGCCATTTTAAGCCAAGGCAGTGACACCGAGAAGGGGCCTCGTCACAAAGGTTTCCTGGAGGGCGATTTCCCAGCTGTTCCCGTCCTCCTTCACTCAGAAAAAAATTATAACATTTATGAGTTATTTGTTGTTGTTCTGAGGAAGCCTGGTGTTGGTTTTCCCCAAGCAGAAGAGGCTGTGGGAGGGCTGTGGTGCCTCGGGACGTGGCAGGGCTGCACCATCTCATTCTGCCCCTGGGACCCAATGCCACGTTATTCTGCTCCTAGGACCAAATCTCAGGGGATGTAGGGAAAGCCTGGGGGTTATGCAGTGCCATGCTTTAAACTTTTCTCTGCTAAAAATGTGAGCTTAAATCCTGATGGGCACTAAAAAGGCTGTCTAAAGTATTCTGAACTCTGCCAGCAGCCTCCCGAGAAGACATGTAACTCTCTTGAGCATGGCTATAGGCAGGGTAAAACATTAGGGAAGGGGAGCTTTTCCACGTGGAAAGCCATCGAGGTGGTGAACAAGCCACCTTGTGATATACATAGCAGGCGAGTCCTGAGGAAGTCACTCCCTGCCACAGAACAGCCGAAGGATGTGCAGATGGTTCTGTAATTCAGCTCTCCCCGCTTAGGAAAAGTAGCAGAGCTGTGTGTGTGTGCTCTGCTTCTCCTTTTCAGAGCCAAACTTAGCTAGCTGGGCTTTCCCTTTCTATTTCTGTAAGCAGAAATCCATAGATGACAGCAGTTGTGAAATGCCTGGCCATGCGTTCCGCCACGCTGGAGCTCTGGCCCAACGGATGTTGTGCAATGTTTCTTTGTAGGCAGTGGAGCAGCTTTGCTGGGTGCCACTCGGGGCTCAGAATTAGACACACTGATTGCAGGAATCTGAAAGGAAGGCAACGTGAGCCACAGGAGAGCTCGCTTGAAGGCCCTGAAAGTTTAATCCACTTCTGTCCCAAATCCTTGAGTCAGTGCAGATGGGGATAACAGACTCCCTTGAGGGCCTATCTCCTGGCTGGCTCTATAGCCTTAATCTGATAACACTAAAATTTTCAGTGATCAACTGTATTCAGTGATCAACATTAATGCCTTTAATTTAGTCACGTGGGAAGCAGTTCCAACCAAACTCCAGGAGTGACAGTGTCCCTGGAAAAGGTTGGACAAAAGCACTTTAGAACTGGTAACATTTTTCCATACATACATGTTTTTTCTTTCTTCAGTTCTACCTTTTGTCTGGCCCAATTATTTAGGAAGAATAATTTTGTATCCTGTGTTCTCAGCACAGTAGGACCCTGTAGGATCACAGTAGGATCGCTCACCAGGCTTTTCCAAAACACCTGATTCTTGGTACTAAAATGTCTGGGACAAGGCAGCCATAGGCCATAGTCAGCTCTGCCTCATGAAGAGCAACCCTATGGAAAACCTCCACAACTAGTCCCAGCTCTTGCATTCTGAGTTAGTAGGAGAAGAGAAAAGAAGGTGGATCCTACTGCAAATCTCATTGGAGACTCAATGAGAACCTTTCATTTTGCAAGGAAAAAAAACAGTTAAAAAAAGAATATTCACCTTATGGCAAGCCTTGGGCAGAGAGGAAGTCATGAGGCTGGTTAGCTCAAAAGCAAAAAAACACTAAAAAACACTTCACCAAGAACACACTTCTAGTCATGTGTCACTGATAAGATGGTTTCAGGTGAACATCTGTGCAGGAAGGCAAGTGCCAGTGTAACAGAGCAGCTCGAGATGTGCAAAGGACACCAGATCTGGGCTTCCAAGCCACCTCGCAGTCAGTACACCTGCAAATGCTGCCCCAGGCCTGCAGCAGGGAGCACAGGGGCTGACAGTGAGCACAGAAGGAGGTGGATTTGTTTTATACTAAGCTTAATTTTAAAGCTGGTAGGAAGAGGTTTAAATTAGAAATGACGATACAGCAGGGCCCAAGCAATGTAGGGGAGTTCAAGAGCGCATTGACAGCTCCCTGGCACGGTTGATCAAGGAGCTAATAAGCAAAGGTGCTTGCCTGGATCTCACACTTAGAATCAAGGAAGAACTGGTTGGGGACATGAAGGCGGGGTCAGCACTGGGTGCAGTGACCGTGAGATGGTGGAGTTCGGGACCCTAAGGCAGGAGAGTGGCACAAAAGGCAGGACCACAACTCTGGTTTTGAACAGCAGACTTCGACCAAGAATTCTGGAGACCATAGGTGTCCAGAAAAGATGCCTGGCTTTCAAAGATCACCTCCTCCAAGTACTGGGAAGGTCCATCCCAAGCACAGGCAACAGAAGGGAGGCAGACTCTTTTCAGTAGAGTTCCCTGACATGATAAGAAGCACAAATGAAAACACATCAGATTCCACCCAAACACAAAAAACCTCATTTTTGTTTAATGTGAGAGTGCCCCAAAATGAGCCAGTTGCCCAGAGAGGTTGTGGAGTCTTCCTGCATGGAGATACTCGAAACCCAACTGGACACCATCCTTGGCAACCTGTGCTAGCTCACCAGCCCATTTCATTGATTCTGTAATGCTGTGAAATATTTCCTTTTTTCTCAAATGCAAAAAGAGACACAGAGCTCCAGGAAGCTTGATGTGTGTAATAGGAAGGCAAGGTCACAAACTCCCCTCTGTAAAGGGCTGGGACTGTGCTGGGAAGACAGAGCTGGTCATCTTCTCTCTTACAAATTCCTTCCAGATTCATTTAAGACAATGTTTACAGTACCTATTCCACCACTGATGAACAATTTTGCTCTGTTTGTTTCACAAAGAGACACTTAAAATCTTGCTCATATTTTTTTAATCATTCCAATTGCCAACCTCTGAGAGTGCCCTTGATGTTATCCAGCAGTGATTGAATGATTCCTATTTGCTGTGAAGGTGACCTGCAAAGCAAAACAGTCTTCCCCATCCTGCTTCTTTATAATGTATAAAGAAACCAGAATTGTTATTAATTTATTTTGGTTTTCCAGCACCTTTTTTCCCGCTTCGTTTTTAACCTCAGATCCATAAGGCTATCAAGGTGCAGCTGTGGGTGATAGGAGCACCAGCTTTCTGACCTTGCTAGGGGTATAGTTAGTATTACACAAAAAAGGGCTTTGATGCAGGTCTGTCTTCAGCCCCAAGACCTTCCAGCAGACTCACATCAGACGGATTAGTGGGATGGGGGAGACTTCCAGGCTTTAGGCTGCTAACCCATTACCTGCGAGGTGAATGCCCTTCCCCCCACCCCAGCACGTGGCCCTGCGACCCCGCAAGGAGCACACAGACCACCAGGGAGGGACGGACGAAAGAGGAAGTTTATTGTGGGGTAGGGGTTTATAAGGCTTTCAGGAGGGTCAAAAGGGGACCAATCACAAGTTCAGGGTCACATAGAAAAAACCATCAGGTGAAGGGTCAACAGCCAATAGAAAGGGGTTAACAAAGGCCAATGGGAAACACCTCAGGACACCTTCCCAGGACATCTTGTGTGGGAGCACAGGGGGTGTTGGGAAGAAGATCAATGACTCTGCAAAAAGGTAAAAGCCATTTTAAAACCTGTTTAAACCACCTTAAAAACTTCGGTTTCTGTAACATTTGAACTGTTTTCATTTTCTTCACTAGTCCATCTCTGACAGGACTTCTTCCATCCTGCATATGGCAAATCCATTGCCACACTCACAAATAACCTGTAGCAATCGGTAGGCATGAAAAAGAAGCCAGGACAGCAATATACAATGTAAAGAGAAGAGAGAGATACGTTGTCAGTATCTAGGGTTCCTGGTCTTAAAACAATTGTTGATGAGCACTGACTGCATGAATGGGTCACACTGAGAGCACCAGAACTTTGCTTGTGCGGTTCATGGGAATAACAGGGAGCACATCCAGTAAACTGTGACTGCAGCCAAAGCAGGAGCCTTTCCATCTCTGAGGGAGATGAATGTCTGTGTACTACTCAGTCAGTGTCTTACCACACAAGCCAAATTTAGCCCGCAATGAATGTCTACTGCAAGGGTTCCACTGATGAAGTTAAAATCATTTCCAAGTTCATTTGCTTGCTGCAGAACATTTTCTTCTGTGTGAAAGATGCAAGTGTTCCTAGGCTAAGATCCACAGGGAGGTTTCATTCCAAAGCAAAATCAGGGTTGAGTTGTTAAAAGAGTTCTCAGCAGTCGCAAGCCTGGCACAAGTCCCATGCATCTCAACAGGGTTGCGATTTCACCCTCTGGCTCTAATGGAGTTATGCCAGCAGAGACATTGGTCCAAACTCCCTATTTCTGTCAGTTGCTCTGTATTCAGTGCTACTGAAGTCCCAAAGTAGATCTTCCCACAAGAAATCTGCCAGCAAGAGCAAAAGCTAATGTGCAATATTGTATTGTACACAGAAATTAAAAATGTACAGAACCCTGCAAATGCCACCTTTAACCAAGCCTTACCAGGCCATTACCATGTGTCTGACAAGCTCCTAAATTAAGCTACAGGTTCAGTCAGCTGTTTTTTAACATTGATGACACTTCAGCTCCCTAATGGCACTTCAGTGCCTGTTTAACAAGCTGGCAGGCAGTCTGGCAGTCTGGCGACCCTAGAAGACAGTGTTTTGGTGCCTTCAGCATCTCTTGAGCACACCATATTCAGCCCCAGGGAAATACGGATGACTCCTGGGAAAGCCACGCAGGTTTGAGAGGAACTTCCTGCAGAAGTCAGTGGGACAGATGCAGTAGGGAATCCCCCACTCTCTTGGGGTCCTGTCCTGGCACAGGAACACAGATCCAAGCTGCCTGCTTCCTCCCTGCCTCAGGGCAATGTACCTGCAAGGTGCCTGGAGCAGGAAGGACTGCCAGGTGTCTGATGCCAGGATTTCAGGCAGGGCTGTCTGCCTCCCCACCTGTTAGCTAAGAAAGCTAAATGAGTACCAGGGCACTGTAAATACCACAGGGGGGAAAAAAAAAAGCAAGCAAGCAAGCAAAGTAAACAATCAGAATGTGCAGCATTCTTATTCTTTCCAGAGGAGCCACGAGCATGTCCTGCAGCACTAATGTAGCCTTTTCTTCCTGGGCTTTGTACATTTTAGCAGATGTTTTCATCTGAGAACACAGTCCTGCAAGGTGTTCATGGAAGTTCTTCACTTCCCTCTTGTGATGAATCCCACACACATCAGCCAGATGACTTATACGAAATCCTTGATGTGGGGTAGTTCTAGGGTAACTTTCCTGCTCAGCTGTGAATCTGGGCTTGGACCAGAGGACTTTGGATCTAACTTTGCCCCGTACAGATGGAGAGCATAGGAGCTAGTGCCTCCGTGTCTTTTCCTGTGCACAAGTCTCAAAGATTTGAGGGCTTAAAGCCCGCTACCACTCAACAATTGCCATTTCTTGGGTCTCTAGCGAGTGCTGTAGCAAAAAACCAGACCTACTAGCCTTGCTCCTTCATCAAACTAATCTTTACTTAAAAAGTTTAGCAAGGGCAGATGGGGGGGATTAACACTTTCCTTCTGCAGCTGCGCCAGAATAACTCCCACTCTCTTCACAGGAAAACCAGTTCAGTAAGTCCTACTCACATAGGGAAAAGAGATACCAGCTTTACGCAAACAAAAATGTGAAGTGATCCCTTAAACTAACCCTGTTGCCATGGTTGGTTGGCTGATGCCAGAGACAAACACTTCCAGTCGGAGGACTAAGGCAGTTCCGGTGATAAACCGAGCTCCGTGCAGACCTCTGCCTTCCCCAGTGAGCTGAGTCACTTGTTTCACACACATGTGACTCTGCACAGGGCAGTTGGCACCAGGGAGTTGTCTGAAGTGGCTCAGAAACCCTTCAAATACCAGCAAGGCTAGCCCTTTCCTATGGGTTTTAGCTGGGGGAGGCAACATTTCAAAAGGCTTTGCTTTCAAATGCCTTCTCCTTTTGCCAGCCCTGTCTCCGGCAGGAGTGATTCCTGCAGGCTAGTCCACGAGTTTGTCCCCTGGCACCCCTATGGCAGCAGCACATTCCCTTGGAGATGAGAAGGATCTCTTAACTCCTTGCACTGTAGGAAGGGTTTTGCTTCTCACCTCATCTTCAGTGCCTGGAGGAGGTATGCAGACATACCACATCACCCTGTCTGCTGCCTGGCTCCAAAGAGGCTAATAGCCTGGAAGTTCAGTGTTGGTCTTGCATCATCTAATGCTGACCTTCAAAAGAAAAATAGGGGATTTATGTCCAGGAAGGAGGCTTTAAAAATTTAATTTGGTTTGGATTTACTTTTTGTAATGGGGATTTGTGTTTCTTTTCTATATTCCCCCCCCCTTTTTTTTTTTCCTGTGGCAGTGTCTGCTTTTTCCTGAAAGTTTCTTGGTGGTCTTAACAGTATGGACTTCTACCTTTCACAAATCTTAATAAGAAATAGGGTGTGTTAAAAATGGGAAAAAAACTATATTCCCACAGATGTACTCCCTAGGCAGAAGAATCACGTTTTGTCCACACTGCCACAGAGCTGGATGAAGATGTGATGAGCCCCATCCTGCTCAGGGCCATCACCAGCCCTCCTCCCGGCCTCCCAGGCAGTGCTCCATGTGTGACCACTGCATTCCTGTTCGACAGACAGCGAGCCTGCCATCCTGCTAACAAATCAAAAGCAGCTACAGCACCTGGTGGAAAAGTGGGGGTGCAGAGATGAGTAACTGTGGGAATATCAGCCCTACCCTCCATGCTGTGCAAACAACACTGCCATGCTGCTGGTGATGTGGCTTGTAGCTGGCAGGCACCAAGCACTGAGCAAGCTCCTATCTGCAGAAGCGCATGTAGACACAGTCTCAGTTGTTTAGCTCTATGTTAACAGCAAAAAACAAATCCTAAGTGGACTAAACAAATCTCATCGTGGCAAAGTGCTTCATAAATTACTAATTCAGCCTCTGGCAGACTAATAGGGAATAAAGCTGTTTACCTCAGAGTATGACACATTTTTCTTTCTTGCCTTCTCCCTGTGGCACCTGTAGATAGATTCTGATGTACAAAGCTTTGTGTCAGTGACTAATGAGTACCTAACAGTTGCTGCAGATTTCCATAGGCTGCACATTATCACTGCTATTTAAGACATCAGGAAAGAACCTAAGAATCATCCACCTGGGCCAAAAAAGGATCAGCAGATTAAAAAAATGTTCTTTCAGAACATCAAACCTGACGATGCAGCACATTTCAAGTGCCAATGGCAATAAGAAGAGGTTTTGTACCACAGCTTTTGCATTTTTACTTCCATTTTCTGACCATATATAACAACAACATGCCTGCCCAGGTGGGATAACAAAGGAAATTGTTCCTTCTGAAAGCCATGAGTTTATTTGAAATCAGATGGGTTCTCCAAGACATCCTGTGGGATAAGCACCTCTGTGAAGGTACTGTTTGAAACCAAATTGTAGTTTGGAATATTTTAAAACAGGAATTTAAACAGCCTTACTGACAGTGATGACATGTTTTTAGGAACCATTTTACTGCATCCTGTGTTGTTGCCTGGTGTAGTGGTAGGGTGTGTGGGAGGGAATGGAAAAATAAATGGAGTACAGTGAAAGCTTCCTAGGGCTTCCCAGCTCTTGGACTTGCTGATATCAGAGAGTTCAGGAACACATGTTCCCAGATATTCCCGAATAATCCAGGCAGGACAGTGCAGAATAGCACCATGCAGTCAGTGAGTTAGTGGGAAGCAGGTGCTGCACATTGAATTCAGGCACAGCCAAAAGGCTCCCGCTCAGGAGGGCAGTGCGGCCGAGGGGACTGGGCATTGCATAAACCAGGACAGAGCCAGCCAGCTCCTTCTGATCCCGCAGCAACTCCAGGCACAGAAGCTGTGCAACAGGCTCTCAGGTTACCAGCCCACGTCACCAGCCTCAGACCAGCTGGGTGATCATTCCCTCCCGGCATCCTCCACCTTCCCGCAGGTTAACCTTTAGAGGCCTGGTTTAGGTCTCCAGGAGCTCCTCTGGCATGGCAGTGCAAGTGGAGTAGGCACCAGGTGCACAAAGAGGATTTTACCCAGGCTAAAAAAAAAAAAGAAAAACAAAAAACCACACAAAACAGTCTGTATCCAATGTCTCAGTGAATGCAGCTTCATTTTAGGAAAGAGGAACATGATTCCTCACTGCTGGGAAAATGGTTATCCCAAGGCTTCAGATGCTTTCATTGCTTTTATTTAAAGGGGTTTGCCAACTGGGTGCACTATTGTAAAACTAGTCCTACCATGAAATAACTATGGTTTCTGTTCTGCTGGGTCTCCTTGACCAATAAAAGGTTTTAATAATAGTACAATATCAGGTAATGTCTTCACATTGTGTATCAAGTCACTCCATTCCCTTCCTTTTACTATTAGATATATGTAAAGTAGAGCTAAACATTTGGTTCTTGTATGGACTAACTTTTTTGTGGTTTTTTTACCATGAAGACACTGGTGCTGCCAAGAATATTTCTTGTTGAGGTTGTATTTAAAGCTTTTTGAAGGGTCGTCTTTGCTGCACAGTGATATTAGATAATACTTAATAAATATATATTTTCTGCAAAACGGTAATTAATTATTGGAATTAAGTTTAGCAAGCAAATTTAAATAAAAAGTCATGTAGCTGGAGGACCAAAAACTCTTCCAGGTTATTTGGTTTGCAATTGTATTATCTATTGATGCTATAGTTTCATTAAGTTCTCCAAGCAAGCTAGACTATACTGAAATCTTAGCACACAAGAAAATTACTTTGTATTACAGATATTTCATTACTGATGAAATTAATAGTATCTTATACCTGTTTAGCATCTTCTGTTGGATAGAATCCAAGCATGTTATCAATGCTATATTAATGTAACCTCTTGAAATGATAGTAAATTAATGGATATTTTATGTAGTTAACAGATGAGGAGATATTAAGGCAAGTGGGTACCTTCTCAGTTTGGGACTTGATAGATTTGGGAATAAAATCTACATTTCCCCAATTGTGTTGCAGTGTCTGCTATTTCTTTCCAAAGGAAGCAAACAGCACACTACCAAAATGATCTCACCACTGACAGAAGTAGTAGTACTCCATTCCCTGATGCAAAATATTTTCCTGTGATATCCTCAGTGCATTTTACAGGTAAAATCAATCTGCCTCTCCCTCCCACAGGAACTCACACACAGAATCTGACTGAGAAAGTACTCACTGGGACATCCATGTGTCCACAGGAAGTCTCCTGTTTAGTTCAACTTGCTTACTTCTCATAGGCTCATTAGGAGACACATCATCTGCTTGTTGTCATTTATTCATCAGTCTCTTATGACTGAGCTTCAGCTGCTGTGATGCAGAATTAAGAGACATGAACACCTCAATAATATGGTTCACTAACCCCAAAAGTAAGTTATCATCAGATGCCATGTAAAGGAAGGTACATAATGAAACACATCATGAATATTTTTGTACAGGTTTTCCATACTCAGGCTCATTTTTATCTCATGATGTAACAATAGTTTTTAAAGCGTTCATTTAAGCCAGGCTTTAACCAGATGTTAATTTTAGAAGCTGGATGGTACCTTTCTGGTTTTGAAAGCCAGCCTTATATTGGAACTATAATGAAACTGTGCAATGGACATGTTATATTAAGAAAACTCCCTGTGACATTTGTCAGCCTAGATACCACGGTGAAATCATGGCCAGAGATGTGCATCTGACCATCCCTGCGCCTCTGCAATGCACAGGGACTGTCGGGCAATAACGTTGAGATCAAGAGGTTTGTTTAGCCTGTCAGAAACCATCTCAGCACAGTCCCTGCCACAACTGCTCACCCTCAGGAAATCCAGCTGAATTTCCAGCAGTGAGAGCCACTGCTGCAGTTCCCCTCAGCCTTCTCTGAAGCCTGCTGAGCAAGGGAGCTCCCTCCTCATGGCCTTTCTGCACGCCT